AGCAGGAATATATAAATTCTGGGTTTAAAACAATGTGTTGAATTTACAGAGGTACAGCACTTACTCAATGGCAAAATACACTATGCCTTGGTTATTATGTACTTTTTCACTGTCTCTGAATTGATAACCACTATAGCTCCAAGAGAGTAAGGGCCGTGTCTGAGTGCTAACCTTTACATCAACACTGCTTAGTAATACCCCTGGCCCCCAGCAGGCTTTTATTAAATAAATGAATGAAAAATAAATATATTTTTAAAGCAAATATAAAAAAACTGGAAACAAAGTTTCCCTGAAACCTCAGCTTACTAGCTCATTGGAAAACTAAAAAAAGTTCACTATATCTAGAGATTAAATGGCAAAACCCAGAACCTATGTGAAACATTTTCAATAGAAATTTTAAATGTTCTACACGTTTTGCCCTCTTAATCAGATTCCTTAAACATAATTCAAATTTCTCAATAGCTTGGTATCTTTTTTATTATCAATGGATATCGTGACGTTCACGTGACATACATAAGCCTCCATGAATTAGAAACTGCTTTCTGAAAATGTCCCCTATGTTAGTTTTTTTTTTTTTTTGGTCCCTTTTTCTCCCTTTCATAAAAATTAAGTGAAGCACAGTACAGATGTAGGTCCACCTGAGAAGTACAATATGGTTGCCTTCCTTCACAATTGCTACATGAAAGACTTGGTCCTCTTCAAAGAGCCAGAACAGCCCTATCCAACATAAGTGTAACTGGAGCCACATATGTAATTTTAAAATTTCCAAAACATTCTCATGTTGATATGTAACCAATATAACAAATGAATAGTTTCCATTCTTTGCTTTTCATACCTTATCTTAGTAATCCAGTGTGCATTTTGCACTTAGAGCAGATCTCAATCTGGCCTACCCACACTTCAGGTGGCTAGTGGCTACTAGCTGGCCGACTCGAGCTCTGCAAAAACCTCTCCTTCTGTACCTAAGGGAACTACACACCCTTTCGGCTTGGAGCTCCTACTCTATCACTTGTACTCTGGTTCCTATAGTGGGAATTCCATTAGTTGGAGAAACTATCACCATCATTCTCCTAGGCCTGACCTGAGAACTCCTTAATGTATGGAAGACAAGAAAATTCCAGGTATCTGTGGTGTTCACTGTGTATCTTTCAGGTAAAAATGAATTTGAACAGTGTTAGACTTCACTGAGAAATGTTCTTTTATCTTATCTATAATGTTTTAAATTCTTTATAACAAGTGTTCCACGGGATAATTAAAAAAAAAAAAAAACACCCAAAGCTTTCTTGCATCATGGCTTCTACAGGATGAGCTCTCCAGTGTCTACCAATACAGCTATTGTAAGACTGATTGCTCCTGGCGAGAAGGCGGGGCAGGGGAGACAGGAGCTCAAACGTTTTTAAGACCTACTGTGTGCAGGAAACTTTACGCACCTGACTTCATTCAAACCTTAGAGCAAACCAGCCCGACAGGGCCATCCATGAGTAGGCAGTGGCGATTCTCAATGCCGGCTACACGTAATTGCCTGGTGAACGCTCAAAAAATACCTTCCGTCGGGCCCCAGTCCTAGAAATCCGCGCTCACTCCCCCAGAACTGGGCGACCTGGCTGTCGGTGTTTCTAAGAGCTCTGGGGTGATTCACACCGACCCTGCGGCCGGGAGCGCACGGCCCCCAATGCTGCGAGCGCGTCCAGTTCGCCCGGTAGGGCCTCCCGAGCCGCGGTTTTGCAGGGTGGATGGCAGACTAGATGGGGCCACCTGCCTCCCTGAGCCTGCAGAGGCCAACAAGCCCCGCCCCCCACCCCTACCCCTACGGCAGCGCAGCGCCGCAAAACTGCCCCAGCTCGGATGCTGCGGCGCTAGCCGGAGGCTCCCTTCCCAATGGAGCTATCCCGCGGTGGGCCCTCCAAACGGGGCAAGCGAAGAGCCCCCGAGACGCGGAGGCGCCCCGCCGCCACTCGGCGGCGCTTGTCCGGAGGCCAGCTGCCGGCGCCTGAGGGCAGGGAAAGCCTTGCCTTCGAGAGCCTCTGGTTCCCAGCGACCCCTGACACCGAGGCTTCTCCACGCGCGGCCCCCACCGGCGTTCGCCACTCTCCTGCCAATCAGATACGGATTTCCTCCACTGCCAGCCGACCAATCATCGCGCGCGGGTGTCCTCTTCGGCCCTTCGGCTCTTCGGCTCTTCGGCTCTTCGGCTCTTCGGCTCTTCGGCCCTCCGGCCTTCGGCACATGGACGTTCGCTGTTCCGCGGCGCGCTAAAGCGTGTTTCTCGTTGGTTTAGTTATCCCTTTTTTTCAGGCACTTCCGGGTGCTGCGTCATAACGTAAACCCGCGAGTTCCGGAAGCCTGGAGAGCCCAGGTTCTGCTAGGAAAAGCCAAGCTTCCCAGAGAATGTTTCAGGAACAGTTACTTGGAGCGGGGCGTTTCGCAGACTCCTAAGGTCAGTGTCGCCCGAGAGAGCCGGAGTGCGGACCTGAGGTCTTGCTTACAGCTGGGAGGGCGTGGAGTTTTACGACCTTGTAATTGTCGCCTTTTACTTTTTTCCCTGTTGTATTGTCTTCCTGTCTTCCTGGAAGAGGCAATCACAATCTGATTTGGGGAAAGGCAGTGGGACAAACGTAAACTCCTAAAAATAGTCTTAGGATCGCATCATTAAAAAGAAAAAAAGAAACATAGCTAGACTTGAGCTCCTTTGCATTCTGCGAAGTGACTTTCTAAGACACACACTTGGAAATCTTTTCCCCGCACTTGGCGGTGGTGAGATTTAACTGTTACGAACGGCTTAAGAATTGTTCAGGGTCAAAACTCTAATATCTGATGGTTCATGTAAAATGTTATGTTTGGTACCAAAAAAGTTGAGTATGCTTAAGTTTCCAACATTTTTGAAAGACTATGAACTCAAAAGCAGTTTTAATTTTCTTGGGGAGAAGTTACTGAGAATTTTCTTAGAAAATTGCTTGCGATGAGCGTGTTATGTTTAACATTGATTTCTGATAAGAGATAGAATATAAAAGTCATTGTTCTTCGGAGGCCTTAAATTAAAACTCATTGTTTGTTTACTTATTTCTTTAGGTCCAAATTTCCAAAAATACTACATTTAGTGAAAGGGCTGTTCACAGAATCAGACCAAGTTATTGACTGTTCACAACACGTCTGTATTCTATGATGTCCCTGGAACACTATATACCTGAACAGTTCCAAGCAATTACAGGAAGGCTGAGGTTCCATCCACACCACAGTTTGTCGCCTAAATACCTTCCCGTAATGAGTTACCTTTAGTTAAGCCTGAACAGAATAATCTTGGGATTGCTGACTCTTCCTTTTTCTTTTTCACTTTATCTTCTCCCTGATCTTGCCCATATTATCCATTACTTGTATCCAGAAAGATTAGAGTTGAATGGTTTGGGGCCATAAAGAGATTTGGAAGAAAAGAGAGAGTGGAATTAGGAATTATTTACAAGTTAAAAGGAGTACCTCTTATTTTTTTCCTTAGGAAAAAAAAGAAAGAAAGAAAGAAAATAGAAGTAACAGGACATAGTAGAGACTAAATCTCTAGACTAGACTAAATCAAGAGAATTGAGTTCAACTCCTGACCAGGTCTACCTCTTAGCCTTATTCTCCTCATTTTTAGAAATTAGGAGTAGCACCTCAATCTCTGGTTTTAAAACTGTTCCATAGGAGGACTTCTGTAGAAATTTACTGGAGCCATGCAGAGGAGAGATGAAACAAGCAGACCCTCAGCAGCATTTTACAAGAACAGCTATTTTTTTCTGTTCTGCTTGAAAAACAGGGATCCTGTTAGGAAGATTAAATTCATATTTTAGACTACATGATCTGTTTCCTTCTAGCATTAAAATTTTATTTCTTTGGTTAATTTTTCATTTGTATTCAAGGTGCATTCCTTTGATTATTACAGTTTTTTAAATAATAAAGTGTATATGTTCACAGTTAATTCATTACCAAAAGCCACAAACCTGTCTATATTCAACCTTATTTAATAGATGCAAATTTTAAGTTTCTTTCTTTTTGATCAGAGTCGTACTTCCTTTTCTCTTTTCCCCCTACTTTTAAAATTTTTAGCCATAAAATTTGTGCTTATATTTGAAGCTCATAATAGTCTTTGCAATAGGGAAGGCAGATGTTTTCCATTTTCCATTTTTGGTAGCTGAACCATAAAGATGTTAGCAGTCTTACCTAACGTCACGTTACTAGTAAATTTCCAAGTCCTGGCCCCATGTTTTCCTCACAGCATCAAGTATATTTTAAGTTTCTTTGCCTCTTGCACTCCACCATGCTCCGGTTCCTCTAGCACAGGAAAAGGTATGCAATATGCACAATCTTTATTTCTGGACGAAAGTTCTGCTCTGAATCACTGCCTCCTTTTTTTTTTTCCCTCCCTTGATTATCTGGGTTGGACAACCTAGAAGCAAATTGGACATTCCCTTTTTTCTCTTCACTGTGAAATGACAGCAGTTTCTAAACATTCCATGTTCCTCCTCAGTTCCTTTGGAAGATGGAAGAAACCTCAGGAGGAAAGCCCTAAACTGCCCGCACTTGCCCCACATCTGTAATCCTGGCACTGCAAGTGCCATTGCTGTGATTTCTGGATGTGTACGTGGAAGCAGGGAAGAGGATGTCTAGCACCCTCTGTACTTCCCATTGTGGGCTGTTAACTTCCCAACCTTTTCCCACCTTGGAATCAAAATGCCCTTTTCTAGATTGCTTTTTATCTTGTTTCATTTTATTTTCCAGAGCTCTTCCTTCTTACCTGCCTGTCAATAAGGTGAGATAAAATTTCATCCCAGTTTTCTTTTCTTCTTACTATAAAAACATGAAAACCAAGAGATCTGGAGTAATTCTGTTTTGATTATGTATACCCATTCCTTTCCAGTGTCAGGCAGGTGAGTTGGCATTGCCTCTACCTTGTGTATGGTGTATGTTCATAATAGTTAAATGAATGTTTTCACCTCCTTTTTTCACCCCCATATTCCTTTGGTTCAGATTTGATATTGAGTCTCTTTGAATGGTTCTCTGACCACATGGAAAGACAGGGAAAGTAGATGAGGTGCATCCCAGGCAACTTGGGCAACTTTACCAGATTCCTTGAATTTCTTCCTGTCTACAATCCTGAGAGCTTGACTGGCAGTCTGGTGTTCGGAAAGGTCATGAAAAAATTCTGCTTCGAGCTCTGTGGGATTGAGTTTGATCCAGGCTTACCAAATACCCATACTACTAACTTCCTTTTGTGTGTTCCACCATTTCTCTAGCGTTTACCAGAGATTTACTAAGCGCCAGCTTGACCTTAAACAGGTTGTCAGTCTTCTCTTAATTTTTTACTTCTTAAAATGGGCATAATATTTACTGTGTTATGAGGATTAAATGAGGTAAAGAGCTGTAAAGAAAATGTCTAGTGCCTCATACATAGTATGTATCCCATGGTACTTCCTCCTTTTCCATTGCTAATACCTCTGTTCCTTCATGGCTCTTCTCACATTCTCTCAAGTGCCATAAAATGTACAATTAAACCTGTGTTCCAATAATCTTAAAGTGAGTTAGAATTCTCTTCTTAGGCAATTATATCCTCAGGTTTTTTTTCCAGATTTATAGAGTACTTAGAGATCTATTTGCTCCGTAAGTTTCATGTAGTTGCTGTTTGTTCATCCTTGGATTGCAATTTTTGCTGTAGTTCACGCCTGAAATCTTCATCTCTTAGTACTTAGCCACTTAAAGTAGCCCCATCTGCATGTCCTACAGTGCCATACTGAAGTGTTTATGTTCATCTTTTAGGTCCATCATCACCTTGTCCATAGAGGATGCTGGTACAGAGCATGGCCCCACCACTTCTGCCTGTGTGATTTCATATAAGCCAGCTCATCTCTCTGTGCCTCAGTTTCCTTGATTTAAAACACAAATACTGAAAGAACCTCTTTCATAATATTGTAGGGATTAAATGATTTAATATTTAATTTTGCAAAGGACACTTAGCTGTGGTCGTTGCTTATTAGCACTTCATAACCAGAAAGTAAGTGGTACAGGTTTACTGCAGTTGTAAACTCACAGATTGGTTGGGTTTCTCTTCCATCAAGGCTTCGCTACTTTTTCCATGAGGATTGAGTCTGTCTCATGGGTACCACCGTTCTGATTTCTCCGCTTTCTCTAGCCTTTTCCAAACTCATGCTTGACATGAACCATTTCTGCAGTTGGAAATGACTGTTCTTTTATTTTTTTCTCTTCCTCTTCCAAGGTTTCCTAAAATCCTATAAGGATTCTAGAGAGGTAGACTTTTTACAGTGCTTTTTTTTTTTTTTTTTTTTAACTGCTAAAGAGCATAGTGTGATAAAATGACTTGCCCAGAGTCACACAGCCTGTTGGTAAACCTGGGCTAGAGTACAGAACTAATCAGAAGCAGTTTAACTCCCCTTCCCCACGTTCACTCAGACATCTGCTCTTTATTTCCACAATGTGCTTTCTTTCTCAAAGACTCAGAAGTATCAACTTTCTGAAAGAAAAGATGATGAGTGCCCGTGCTGTCTTCTTAAAAATGTATTTGTGAAGTGAGGCCGAAGTAATGGGCAATTCTGTTCTCAGATTTAAAAAAAAGTATTTTGTGTTACTTGTAGATACTTGAGTAAATAACCGTAAGTGGAATAGGTAAGGTGCTCAATTGTGTAAGACTAATTATAGTTTTGAAGATTGTAGTCTTTGAGTTGAATTCCCAACTCTCTCCAAATAAAAAGAGTATTTCCCCTCTGCTAGGGCAAGTTACTTATCATTGTTCGTCTTTTTGAGAAATGTATACTATTTGGAACTTTATCCTTCCAGATATATTGTAAAGACATTTTGTTGTGTACCCACTAGCACCCCCAAAAAGAAAAATTCTATTTGGAAATTGATGAGGATTGCATTTAAGTTAAGAGTAATTCAGAGATCTAGTGCCCATAAGGGAATTTTCAAATTCTGCATGTCTTGTCTATATCCAAATGAGAACAATTGGGATTTGTATCATCAGATATCTGTAAACTATTGAGACTTAGTTCATATTTGATGAAAGAGAGGAACAAAAGAGCAGTGACAAGTCACTTAGCAAGCCTGTGGCAGAAGTGGGATTTGAACTTACAGTTGTTGATTTCTAGGCCTGTTCACAGTGCCAGAGGTCACTGTGTTCTAATGGGTCCCAGCCATAGCTTTTTCTCTTTTGCTCATGTTTGAAATGTGTTCTGGGAATCAGTGTCCTGTTAAATCTCTCTTTGATGCATGTCCCATTTATTAGTATTGATTTCAATACAATGGACAGTAAATCTATATGACTACACAAAGGAAATAAAATAGTAGGGTATAGGTTCAAAGCTTAAGATCTCGGGTTATAGAACTTTTTTCATATAACCTCCTAATATGAAATGCTGATTAAAAAAATGTTCTAAAAACCTAAAAGGCAAAAAT